AGATGAAGATAGGGTGTGTTACGAGGTCTTGTTATGTTGAATTTTAACACGTTAGTGTTTTGATTGTAGGCGGCAGTGTTGAACACTGGTACATAAACACATTCGTGTTCGGTGTTTTCTTTTACAACACATGTCAGAGAGCACGGGGAGAGATAATTAAATAAAAGTCATGAATGAAATAAGAATGTTAAGAGAAATATAAATATTCATGTTACTTGCCATTTTATTGTGTAACATTTCATTAAACTAGTTTTCCTTCCAGATATCTGGAAGGAACCAGATTTCAACTAAAAGCTCCTGTTTAGATGCAGTACAGATGAAAAGTAATTGTCCATGGAGCTGATAAAGTAAAAACAAATTTTTTTTAAATTTCTAGTTTCTAGTGAGAAATGTTTTTAAATGATTGGCCTCGCGTTAGATTCTAGAGCTAAAAGTTTTCAACAAGGTCGTTTTAGACCTCAGTTTCAAACTAATTAACTCTGGCGGGAAGTATGTAAGGATCTTAAGTTTTACTAACGTTTATTTTATTTTAAATCTTTACTATCACTTATTATTTTTCTACTTCCGGCCAGAATTAAAAGCTTTAACTTATTTATGCAAATTTGTCTGGCGAACGCCAAGTACTTAGGTTGTGGCTTTTTGTCAAGCGAGTGAAGAGGAAGGAGTTAGTAGAAGCAGGCCGCGTGCCTTAGCAGTTTACTCGGTTGCTGGTTGCCTTCCAGGCCAGAGGTTTAATCCTCTTGATAATTTTAAACGTATTATAGTGTTAACAGTTCTCTGTACTACATACGGCTTCCTGTTAATATACGGCCAATCTTCTCGGAGACCCTTGTTTGTTATTCCAAAGTTAAGTTAGAGTTTAGTTAATATTTTTATATTCTTACGTTCAGACCACAAGTGGTTGGTCTCTGTATTCCGAAGCCCGGAATTCATTGTAAAGAGTGAAAAATAAAGGGTTTCGTATATCTTCCTGTGTATCTTGTCTACTTCCCACATTTATTGAACATAGCTTTAGTAAGCTCCCTGTTCCGAGTCAGGTTCTTTGAATGTTCCCAAAGCAAGCAAGGCGGAACATTGAACCTGATAAGGCTTTTATCTGAAACTGCTCTTTCCCTCTGATTCAGATAAACGTCAGTTTGTTGTATCTTTCATTATCAAAAAGATATAAAGATATTTACATCTTAATAAGCAAAATGGCTATAATCATTATCATAGCATAGAGGAAGTTAACTTTTAAAGACCAATATTTGGTGTTAAGACTAATATTTGCAAATGCCAAATTACATTTTCTATTAATTTTCAGCCTAATCTTTAATTGAGGAATAAAAAAATCTTTCAGTTAAAAAGACTTTTCATTTAACTGTCATTCGTTAACTTGAAGACATATTTACGCTTTTCGTTATATTAGCTTTAATGATATTTAAGAAAACATTAAAAAAACTTATGACTTTATTCTGGATAATTCATTTAGCAAAATACATTCTCAGCTAAAATGAAAATTTCCAGTCTTATTAATAAGGCAAACTTTAGCTGCATAGCAAGTTACTAATATAATATAAAAGAGTAGTATGAACAAAAAAACCGATAAAAAATGGGAACATTTTACGTATTAATATCTTGAATCTACTTTTATTTCTGTTTTAATGTTCCTAGTTAAATTCATTACATTACGGTGCTGGACAAACACACTTTTTAATTAAACTAAAATTGATTTTGACATTTTAGCTTTTGATTTGAATCAGTCTAAAGTAAATTACAAGTGAAAAAGCGAAAATTGAAAGGATAAGGTAGCAAAATTAAAAATTTGCAATGAGGGACAATTACATTTCATTAAGTTTTGCTAATACATTTTCTGAGAATGAATGAATTTAATGAATTCTTTTCAAATTTCTGCCCATTCATTATGAAGAGTCAACAGATTTTCAATATGGTTTTATTATCAAAAATTAGCAAGAAAATTGCTTGAGGATATAAAAGAATGAGGAAGTAAAATATGCTACTATCGTTGGAAGTTTTAAACATTTAGATCGTTTTGTTAAAATTTAAATTGTGATTTATGAGTTAGGATCGTAATCTAAGTAATTTACTTTACATTTATTTGACATTTAAACAATGTTTCTAACTTACATTCATCATCAGCTAATGAAATAAGTAAATGTAAATACCAAGGAGTTTGATAATATGTGATTTAACTAAACAAAGTTATCGAGATCAGGAGTTTTTACTTTCGAAATACTTCACTATTTTTACTGATAAAAACCCCATACACTGCCCTCCAAAACTAAAGGAACAGCATGTTTTTTGTGTCTAATGTGAGAACGAAGCAACATAGAAACAAGAAATTTACAGGAGATGTTCACTAAACAGTTCTTTAATGAACGTGATATAGAATTTTTCTAAATTTCAACAAAAGCATGAATTATAACAAAACATTTCACTCTTGGCAGAGAAATTCATCCTCGGAGAAACAGAGCATCACAGTTTTTTGGGGGAAAAATAGGGTGGTAACATTACAAAAATGGATTTTAATAAGAAATGTATCCGTCCCTAGCTGCAATAAAGTGGCGGCAGCGACGTGCCATGCTGTCAATTAAGTCGGCGGTCAGTGAAATGGAAAGCAACGACCAGACACAGAGTAATCCTTGTTCAAGCTCATCTAGCGACCTTGGAGGAGGACTTAAACCAGCAACCTGTCTGCCAAGGTAGTCCCAAAGATGCTCTATCGGATTCAAGTCTGGGGATTGAGCTGACCATTCCATCCGTTAAATACCGTGACCCTCAAAATATTCTTCAGCAACCCGAGCTCGGTGCGGTCACGCATTATCGTCCATCAGAAGAAACCCAGGACCAAATGGGTGGATATATTGATCAAGGATCTCGTCTCGATATCTCACACCGGTCAAAGTTCCTCGATGGAACACATGCAGGTCAGTGTGACCACCGAAAGAGATCACAGCCCAAATCATTATTCCACCATCTCTGTAACTATGTCTTTCCACAATGTGGGATTGGTTGCATTTGGTGCGTTGCTCCCTCCTGCTCAGCGGACGACCTAAATCACTTTCGAATGTGAACCTGGACTCGTCTGTGAAGAGAACAGACGCCCGTTGTTGATTGGTCCAAGAGACGTGTTCTCTTGCCCATCATAAACGGGCACCTCTGTGCCCTCAGGCCAAGGGGACCCCAAACAACTAACCGTCTTGCATGCAGAACTCTATTGTGCAGGCCTCTGTGTACTGTAGTATCTCAGATTCTTGTTCCTGTTGCCACTAAATGATCTGCTATGAGCTAGGCCGGAGGAGCTAAATAACGGTCTCCTGCAGGTGTTGTAACTCTAGGTCTGCCTGCAACATGTCTTCTAGACACATAATCCTCGGATGCAAACTGATTCCATAGTCGGTGGACCACACCACGAGAAGCATTGAGAGGTCTAGCAGCATCAGCTTGTGAAATTCCCTTTTCCATCTATCCGATCGCACGCCAAGGGATCAGTGATATAGGGTAGTTAGGAATCAATTTTTTATATGTGTTCGATTTAATAGGGTTGGCAAATACAGCAAGATCACAGAGAAATCAAAATACTTTAAGAAATTATTTTACTTTTATGTTACAGATTGAAACAAACTAATGTATTTTCGCTGAAGTTCAGAAAAAAAAAACAGTATCCTCTACTAGTAGCAAATACCTCTTAATATTTTCTAAGTACTATCTAAATGATGTATCATATCTATCTCCCAATGAATACAACTTTTCAAAAGCTTTATATATAATTAAGTTTCAAATGGAAATGTTTTCTTATTTTGAAATTATAATGTGAACAGCCTTTTCGGATTTCTAAATCGCAAATCACCGTAGTACCTCGAATAATGAAAGTATGCTACTCCAGCATATCTTTCGTTATGCATGTCATTGTTTCTTACAGGCTACTGTGATAATAACTTTATTCTTTTTCTTATTTTAGTGCAAAATCACGAAATATTGAAGAAAAAAAAAACACAAACTATTAGACACATCATTATTGTTGAAAGTAATAGAAATTTACTAATTCATTAGACATAAAAACTATTTGTAGGTTATAAGATTCTAGTTAAATTGCTTGCCTTTGGCAACTAGAATACTTGACAAGTATGCAGCGACTAATCGCTTATCTCTAAAGCTGTAAGAGCAAATCCAAAGAGGGGTTAAATTACCCTTTTATTTTACTCAAGAGTATTTACAGTTGGCCCCTCTCTGGCTTACAGGAAGCCTCCACGTGGGCTTAAGACAGAAAAATAAGAAACTAATCTAGTGTTAACTGACTAAAAACTAGCCGAAGCTGCACAGAAATAAATAACAGAGTTGGCCCTTATTTACAGCTTATCGGTGAATACTAACAGGCACGTAACAATACTGCCGAGTGTAGTACGATTTGGCTTAGAGCAACGACGTAGCCAGAGGACAGAACAAGCTCTACTAAGAACTTCTAAGCTCTTTTACGGAAATGACCTAGAATTCCAGAATTCCCTATAAATACTGGTTCTTCGTTTACATAAAACGCGATCCTGTAAACTCATTCTGGCAGAGAATTCTAGGTGTGAAACAAGAGAATAAAGGAAACGTGTTTAAAATTAAAAATGACTGTTTAAGAAATTATTCTAAATCTTTCCTGACCAGAATTTAGGTCTCACAACTAAATAGGTCTCACAACAACCTTGTTGAGAGTTTAAATTCTAATTTTAAAAACTCTTCCTCTAGATTAAAATTTTTCTACCTTTAAAATCTTCCTCTACTTTAAAAATTCTACTTTAAAATATTCTACTTTGAAATTTAAAACTTTAAATTTTACATTTTAAACTCTACTTGCAAAACGTTAAGACTCTTATCTTTATATTCACTTCTAGGAATAGAAAGTTTAAAAGAAATGCTAAGAGCCAACTGTACAATCTTACTCTATAAATAAATTAAGACAAAGAGAAAAGAAAAATTTCACACATTTTACAAGCTTCATTTCTGGAACCTACATAGTTTTCTTGAACTCTTGTGCCTTCTTCCAAAATACCTGGAAATAAAAAGCATTAGGAATTTTATTTTTTCACAGCGATAATTTGGCGACACTTTCAAGAAAAAGTTACATTTCTTCATATTTATTTGGTTCTCAAGCTGTTTCATTCACTCATAAATTTAATTTACTTCCCCCAAATGTCTCCAGAAGTTTGTTCTGTAAACAAATGAGTGTGTTTTTGTTGAGTGGTAATATGTAACAACTTCCTAATGTTAGATCAAACTAGACTTCCCAAGGCCTGGAATAACTGTCTATATTCAGCACTATACCTAATGTGCTAAGCATGAAAGTTTTTTAAACATTCCTGTAAACTGGAGAGCCTAACTTAGCTCATTCCTGCTTTTCGCTTTCTTGCAAGTAATTCATTTGTATTCATTCACAATAATTTAAACTTTCAAGCATTTTTATTTTTAACATGAAAACGTTTACGTAACAGAATAACTTTTCAACATTCAATGGACAAAATAGTAAAAACTTCAGATTCATTTTACATATCAGAGGTACAAAGTTGCTGTACATTATTTGCAACAAATTTTCCACAATTCTAATTTTACGTTTCGTAATTCTGAGCGTTTTCGACTAAAATCCTTAATATGTTACATTATCGTAAACCTGCGAAATAAATTCAAGCTTCTTGCTTTTGACAACAATTAAAAAATGACGTTGCTTAAGAAAAGCTAAACTTTATATAGCAACTCTGTGAGTATGATATAAACTGAATTTAAACTAAGAAGAAAAGAAAAAAAATCACTTATCTCATTTGCCTTTGAAATTGGCCATTCGTTTTTGCAAGAACTCTTTCCATGTCAGAAAAAAGTCGATGTAGTTGACTCGAAGACATTGCGTCCGACCATCAGTTTGCACGAGAGGATTTTTCCGCTTTTGACCTTTGGCGGCAAATCGTCCTTGTTTCCTCCCGGGTTTGTGGAAACTGAAATTCTGACCTTCTCTTTGCAAGCTGACAGTCGCTTCTCGTCTATCTCCGTCTGGCACTTTCCGCTTGACTTTTCTTATCTGTGGCGGAGAAGTGGATTCTACTGGGCGTTTCAACGCAAGACTCTTTTATGCAGGCCCTTCGCTGACCGGAAGTGGGATTTTTTTCAGATCCGCTTGGAACGTGTTTCGTTAGCTTTGTGTCGAATCTTCGTGCTTGTTTCCTCTTGTGTGGCCGCACTGGAACTTTTCTCTTTGCCCGTATCAAACTTGGCTCTCTTCTAGCCTTTAGCTGGGATGGAAGTTTGTATCTTTTCTGTATTGGTTTGTATCTTTTCTGTATTTTTGTTTTGAACTTTTCTGTATTGGAAAACTGGCTCCGATATTTCAGCACTGCTACTTCTTGGTTCTTTTCCAGGCTCTTGAAAAGGAGCTTTTAACACTGGAAAATCAGAACTTTGATAGTATGGCTTTATTTGATCAATATTAGCCACAGACTGTTGTCCTTTGTTGTCTCGCAAATAAACAGTAGCATATTTATCCTCTCGATAAAGAACAGGCCGTCGGATTTTTTTATCACATTTCGCCACCCTTTTTTTCAGGGGCGGAAGATAATGAATGTTTCCGGCTCTACTCTTATACGTGCCCTAAGATCACCAAATGTGGCGATATGTGTTCTGCGCTGGTTTTGAGCGCGATTCCGTGCTGTGGGATGGTTTGGTGGACGATGCTGTTTGTATGGCAACCCTTTTAACGTTGAAACTTAGAGAAGTGGTGGCAAGATTTCAGTCGTGTATTTTAGATTGTGTGCAAAGTAAATTTAGTATTAAAAGGTACGATGTTGGAGTTGTTAACGAGTCTTTTGTTGACGGGTGTGTTTATGTGGATAGAAGTGCATTTTTGGAATTTCTGTGGGAGTCAGGACATTTAAAACGGAGTTTGGTGTGTCCGAAATGCGGAGCTGATATGAGAAGTCGGACGAAGAATAGCGTTTCTGATATACTTGTGTGGGTTTGCAATCAAATGGTTGCTGCTAAAGTATGTGGCTGTCAGAGGAGTTTAAGATTTGGATTGTGGTTTTCGCGTAGTAAGTTAACTTTGGAGGAAGTTTTTATCGTTACTTTCGAAATTTTGAATCACAGAAAGACATGTGATATAGCACAATCGTGGCACTTTTGTTGACAGACGTTGTGTGACTGGAGAAAATTTTATTCACGTATGTATTATGATAAGTGCATTTTATGTTACTGTTTTTATTTTGTAGAATGTTATGTTCATTGTTTTTTTTACTATGAATTTCTGTTGTTATTTGAATTGTTTGCAATTTATTTTAGTTATTTTAGTTTATTTTGTTGATTTGTGCGCAATTCCTAGATTGTGCAATTCGTAGATGTTTCTTTAAGTTTAAACAGAATGCTGTGTACATGGTACTCTTTGAAATTTATTGTTGCTATGTTAATTTATTAAAGCAAAGTGTGTAGTTCGTAGATTCTTTCGCTGCCTAGATTGTGCAATTCGCAGATTTTTTTTAAAGTTAAAACATATCTCTGTGTACATGGATTCTTGTCAAATATTTTTTGGTTAGATATTTAGGTTTTTGCTATCTAAATTTTTTGTTTTTGTTTCGGACTTTTAGCTTAAATTGCATGTGGGAAAGCCGCGTTTTGGAGACATTTTAGGCTTAAATTCGAAATGTAGACAAAAAATTTAGATAGTAATATGGCACCGTAGAGTTTCTCGCCAAAAATGTTTGGCGAAAAATTTGGCGACCTGAGGACACATATAAGAGTAGTTCCGTGCTTCCTTTTTAAGACATTCTCACCCACAGCGTATTCCGCCTGCCTTCTCTTTTTATCACAGTACAATTTTTGCTTCCCCCTGGTTATATCCGAACTTTTAACTGCCTCATCAATTATTTTCTGCATATCTTTCATTCTGAACTCCGCCTCTCTTTGTTGAACTAAAAATAGTTTTTCTAACGGAGTTAAAATTTTTCACACTAGAATTAGCTCTGCGGGGGTCTTTTGCGTAGTGTCATGTTTTGCCGTTCTCAGCGCAAAAGCTAGTTTGTTGCCACAGCTATCTCAGTGAACATAATAATTCTTGACGTATCCCCGTATAATTTTCACAATAGTTTTGTTCACTCATTCCTCTATACTGGGCTGCGGAATGTACCGAACCATCTTTAAATGGCCTATGCCAAGTTCTGCGTATAAGTTTTCAAACAGCTGGCGTACAAATTTTCTACCTTAATGGGAAATTACTGTTAGTAGGGCCCCGTACTTTAATACATATTTATTTAAATAGGAGGCAGACACGATTTTTACGGAGGCTCATTTGAGGGGAACTATCTTCCCCTATTTAGAAAAGTGACCTACGATAGATAAAAGATATCCATTTTTATTTAATTGACTTCGGGGGTAAGAATCCATTAAATAGATCCCTACTAATACTTTAGTAAAGATAGTTTTAATACTACTTAGGTACATGGACGAGCTATAATTAATATCGTTAATTAATTGGTACATATGGCATGACCTGACATACGTCGCTACGACTTTCTGTAATTTCGGAAAATAAACCCCTTCGAGGACTCTTTAAACTGTTTTTCTGATTCCAAGTAGGTCTAAGATAGGCGAATCATGTTATTGTTTTAAAATACTTAAACCTAAGCTAGCTGGTGTAACCGATCTAAATTCGTGATTCTCATTAGTTCTTTTCGTATAAAATCACACTTTATCAATAATTTCAAAATGCACTGCGCTGATTCTAATTGCATTAATATCCGCATGTTCAAAATTTTCAGGGTCTTCAAGGTACGCATATTTTTGAATTCGCAGTCTGCTTTCAGGTCTGTAATAATAGTGTCTCGGGACTCAATTATTTTTAAAGTTCACATGGAACATTTAACGGTTTTCACCTCTTCATCTATCTTGATTTTAGACAGTGCATCTGCAAAGACATTCTCTTTTCTGGCGTGTGTTTGATAATGAGGTTATACTTTTGTAACTTAAGAGTCCGTCTGATAACCCGTGGAGAATTTTTTTTTTGCCAGAATACAAACGACCAATTGCAGTGTGGTCTGAATAAACTGTCAGTGGGGCGCTTCCCGAAGTTTAGCACTGCTAAACGTACGGCGAGAGTTTCTCGTTCAGTAGCTGTGTAATTTAGCTGAGTTGGATTCAACGTTTCAGTAAAATATGCTACTGGCTGACTGTTTTGCTAAAGGATGAAGCCAACTGCACAGTCCGAAGCATCAGCAGCGATTTCTAATATTGGCCCCGTTCCGGGAGTTTCAATATTGGAGCACTGATTAGTGCCTACTTCAGCTGCTCACACGCTGTTTGCGCTTCTGCCAACCATTTGACTCGAGTTCCTTTTTTTAGAAACAGTAAAGTTTCAACTAACTTTGCAAAGTCTTTTATGAATGAAGGGTAATAGGAGGCGCATGCCCAAAAATGATGCCAGTTTTTTCGCAGTCTTGGGAAAGGCGTATAATTTTTAAGTGCTGAAATTTTAGAATTCTTTCTCTATGCCTCTGTTCTTTAGCTGCAGATTTACATTTTGAGGCATTAACTTCGAGGCCAGTTTCATTTAGTAAGCAGAAAACGTCTTCTAAATTTTTAACATGTTCGTCAATAGTTTTACTCGTTATAATGAAATCCCATCGAGGTAAATAAAATACTCTTGCTTAGGACGGGGCTTAAAACTATACGTATCATTCTCTAAAATGTTGCCGGAGTTCTGCATAAGCCCAGCGGCATTCTGTAAAAGGCATGTACTCCTGTATTCGCAATGAAGGCAGTCTTTTCAATATCATCGGGCTTTACGCCAATCTGAAAATAGCCTGACATCAGGTCGAGCGTAATCATGTAATTTGTAGATTTAATTTTTCGAATAATTTCATCTATACTTAGCAGGGGATATACTGGATATTTTGTGCTACTGTTTAATTTACGATAGTCAACGGAAAATCGCAATAACTTCGGATCTGAAGGCGGAAGGTTCTTTTTACTTCGGCATAGACTGCCGGATTTGCGTAAGCGCTACTAATCCGGGTAATA